CTTTAGGGGAGGTGGATACCTAAAAATGCGGACTGGAGGATAACTGTAACCCATCCTACCCATCCTACCAAGCACTAGACCGGAACCTTGGGGGCTGGACTCAAGATCTTGGGAAGCATTCAAGTTTCAATGCTGGACGATTCCTTATTGATAATCCACGACCAGCCCTTCCTCCCTTCATAGGATAATTTGAAATCCGGTTATCGGACCTGTAGCGTTGACTGGCACGTTTCATACATACAGAGATAATTCTCCAGTTGGATGTCGGCAGATTCAAACAAGTCCTGCAGTGTGGGGTTTATTAGAACTTTATACAAATCATAAGGTGCTGCCAAATATACACATAACAAAAAGTTGCCCCTAATGAATCTAGATTCGCTCCCCACGGCCAGTCTTCCGCACCATACAGGACACATCGCTTATACCGACCCCCCTCCATTCCTCAATTGAGACGGTTCGGCACCTGACATCTGGAGCCAATGGTTTGAAGGCATCATCAGACCAAATTCCATCAACCACACATATTCCGTCTCGTAGACCTTGTTCGTCCAAAGCAACTGGTTACTAGACTAGTTCATACCACTTTGTTCAGCCCATTCTCAGCCCATTCTAAGCCCCATCGTGGGATTTAGTCCCCTCATTTCAAATCTCAGGGTCCAACAAGTGTCGATCATTTGTGCGGGGTGCATGGCGACGCACGATCACGATCACGACACCCGATCGAACCGATGCATTGGTCGTGTATACCGCGGAGTTGTTCAAATGCATATTACTCCTATTGCTTTGATTCCCCTTTCAAACTAGAGCTAGCATTGCTACCTATGCCCTGATGTGTGGGAGGCTAGAATACAGTAGATATGGAAAGAAACCGTCAGGCTTCAATACTGACAGCTGTCTCCATTACTTCTACACCATCATTTTGCTAGTATCATGGCCGCTTGCTGTAGCATCAATGACCTTCTGCTGGGATTCTCTAGCCTCCCCACAGCTGTTGGTCACAAGTAACGTATTACTCAAACGCTTAATAGGACGATACCTTTACATCACCATTTGAAGCCCTTAGGCGCATGCTGGATATTTTCATTCTGCAAGTGACTACATAGGTCAGACATTGCTGACGCATTCCCGTCATGATTGTCAACTTCACAATAGAAAACCAGCTATCTATAACAAGTTTTCGCACAGCTTTCTCATAAGTCGTCACTTGACCGAATTCTGCGATAATGCATAGCTTTGCAGGTCTTGTGTCTTAGAAAGAGTTGGCGATCATCGAGAGAAAAATATAGGGTTTCAATCTAGTTCAAAAGAGTCTGAATTTACAGTACTCATATTCTATTCTGATTTGTAGACCTGAACGCTGATCAATTCCTCCCATTTCTTTTGACACTAGTCTAGACGATTATCACCAGACGACGGGAATGTTGCGGGGAAATGCGATTTGCACCGGGATAGAAGCCTATTCGGCTCGCGCGGCCCTGGCGGCTTTGGTCATCTGCATAAGCCAAACTATATCACCATACATCTGCCAGTGATTTGAGCGACGATCACGAGACGTCGCATCGTATTTAGTTGCCAAAAGTCCGGCAGAAGACTTTCAACCGACGTCGGCGTTCTCTAATGGCCCTGACCCCCGCCACGTGTGGATGTGGCCGCTGGGGTACGGAACAATAATGGCCTGAGGCCCTGAGGTCTGGACCACTCAGTATGCAGGACGAGACCTTACCATGCCTACCGCATGGGTTTCCGGCCTGACCCGGGCTGACTTGGTGGTATCATATACGGCCACGTCAGACAGCGCAGACAGCGCACCGGCTTTCAACAAAACCCCCAGGCACCTCAATCAGACCCAATTGGTTTCTCCCCCTTGCTTCTCCTCATTACGACGCTGCTTATTGCATCAACCCGTTACCGATCTCTATTACCCCGATTTAGTTCCCCTTCCCCACCGACAGCACAGAAGGCTCGCGGGATCGCGTAACGATATAGCGGATCATATCCTTTAGAGGAGGGCAATCCTTCCTCGCTGCTCTTACCATTCATCGTCAGATGATGTCGTTTGCGCAAATCCAACTTGGTGATCTCTCACACGACAGTCGTTACGACCAACTTCGATTCTGGCCCTTAACTAAATGCTCCCTGAAGATTTACAACTGACACTACAACCTTCAGAGCCCCTCCAAGTGAACATCAAAGGACTACGCACACGAACCCCCAGCCTTATCAAACCACGATTGTGCCATTAAGACTTCGTCTCGGAAACCCGGCATACTCTAGCCCTAGAGGTTCAGGTCGAGCATTCGCAATGCTTATACTATCCAGCTCTCCGCCGCGGCCCAAAGGCATCCTCAAGAAACCTAGCGGCATAGACCTACAAACACGACCTCGGAGTTTATCATCAGCATCGAAAAAGAGTACGGCATTTGACGATGTGGCCCGAGACATTGTGACCGGAGCGGAGGTCCCTCAGAGCCCGATACACTCATCCGAGTACCGCGCTTTTCACAAAGAGTACCGTCAGGAGGCTGGAAGAGCCCTCCTACTCGCCAAGATCGACGGGATGTACGATGATGTCGTTCGACGGCTGGCAATGAAACTTGAATCATGAAAAATACCCTCTCTTTTGTTGTTCACGACGCTATGATGATTTGGGCATGAGAAATCAAATGGCAGACGATCTTATGGCGCTACCCTAGAATCGTGTTAGGTGTTGTACAACAGTACGGCAATTTGGTTTTGGATCATACCCTGGGGGGCGGCGAAAGCGTTGACGAATTTTCAGCATTGCGCAATACCATTCACACGATGGCCGATTTGTACGTTGGTGGCCATAGCGTTTAGACACACCGCCGCCGTGTCCCCTTGTTGGGTCGTGGTGAACGCCCAACAGGGCCATCAAATTTGCGGTTATAGATGGTTTACCATCTTGTCTAAGAGATTGACAAGAAAGGCAAAACAATTTGGGAAAATGTAAGCTATAATAGATTGGTTCTGGACCCGAATTGCCTTCGCGCCGTATTATGAGGAGCTATTTAACTGCAATATTAATCTGCTTATACCAGAATGCCCCTCGTTGTATTCCTGCTCAATCAGCCGCAATTGCCCTCTCATTGATACAAAATCTGCCTTGCCCATTCCTCATGCTTTCTTTGACCTTAACATTAGGGCGGTAGGCGGTGTGCCACCGTATCTCCTCTCGACATCCTGGGCCACGAACCCAGCGCGCTTGCAGATCCCCATGCCACGACCACCACCGTCGAGATAACAAGCGTAGCCGAGATCATCCGCGAGCTTGGTAGCCCAACTGACGAGTGCCGAGGCATACCCCTTGCGGCGTGAGGTTGACTTGGTTATAATAAACTCGATGACTATACAACGTCCAGATTGAGGATCAGCTCTGCATATTTCACGAGGCATATCACGATACCTGTATAGAAAGCCCTTATCTCGCCGGTAAAGGGTATATAACGCTCTAAGGCACAATGAGAGCAGAATTGAAAGCGACGGGGGATAAACGGCAGAAAAGTACATACACACGTGTCCCTCCTTGCCAATAGCCAAATGATGCGCCTTCGCCAACGGCTCGAAGAAGCTCGCTAGCTTCTCCTCGCTAACGCCGGATAGGTCATCGGCGCCGCTCCAGCGCTGCTTCCACGAGCTGCTAACGACACTTTGACCGGGTTTCACAATGTGGACGATGGCGAAGGAGACTGGTTTCCCTGTGGTTTGTCATATTCCATTTTAGCTCGGTCATCAGCAGCTCGCAACTTTGAGTTTCGCAACATCACTTTCATGTTTCAACCACATCGCGAGATCACGATGAAATCGATACCAAGCACTACGAAAGCACCAAAGCGAAGACATCATGCCTGCCTGCTTCTTTGTTTCAAAAAAAAAGGGGGGGGGGGGGGGGGGGGGGGGGGGGGGGGCGGTAGGACGTACCGTTGGCATTCCGCACGATAGGCATCCTGCTTTCGGGGTGATAATACGACCGCGAGCCGAGGAAGTTGGCGAAGCTGCGCTCCAGCCACTTTCGGCCGTCGTCCGTATGCGGGAACGTCGATTCGGCCGCGCCGCTGAACGCCTCCCAAAAGATGAGGATCAGCTCCGGAATATTGGCCTCGGTCGCCAGGCTCACATTGACTGATGCCCCCTTGTCGGCCATTTTTTACTAATCTAGCTGATGTGGCAGGTACTTGTTGAGCGGTCTTCTTGTCGCCTTCTTGCTGTTTGATTAGCCGCTTCGTCTTCGTTGACCAAGGGCTGCGGCTTAGCTTTTGAGGTTGATTATTACGATGCTTTTATGACGGAGACGGATGTTGAGGGAAGGCAACACTCCCATACTCGAGGCGCGGCCATCGGCAACGCTGGAGGGCTTTTAGGATGCTCAATTGAATTTCCCAGGGCATTAGGCCGCCTGTTTTTAAGGTTCGGCGGCGTTGAGATGAGCCGTTCGTGGAAAAGTCCTGCCATCTTAACTCTAAACCAGCCAATGGGCAGGGCAATACGAAACAGGTACGGACAAACTTTCAAGTTTACTAAGTCGTCTACAGGCCCTAAACCTTGGATGCCCCCCTTTATTGGTGTTTAAAACAGGCATCATCGCAGCGTCATTGATTTAGATTGTATCGTCTGTGGTGTGAGCGATGCGATGATGCGGGTATCTGTCCATGTGAAGACATGAAGAGATCTAGGCTTGATTGCAACCGGCGTCTGCCTGTGCTCTCGACTATCGATGAGTGGGCGCGTCGTAATCGCTTCGGGAAGGATTTATGATAGTGCTCCATTGGCTTAATAGTCTAGACATTCGGCTCGTATTCAAAATATCATTATTTGTCCAACACGCTCAACCAAGAATTGTGTCTTTCCCCGAGGCCTCTAGAGCCGTAGAACGGCCGCCAGAAGACCAAGCTAGGAGCCACAGAATGGGAAATGTAAGAAAATTCGGGCGATCTCCACCACATATTGGATTTGAATTTGGTCTTCCCAACAACAACCCACTTGCCCGGTTAGCTCAATCGGTAGAGCGTGAGACTCTTAATCTCAAGGTTGCGGGTAAGTTACTGGCACATCCTGTTTAAAAAATAATTCTGTAAAAAGTACTAAACCTACCTCTTAGGTTCGACCCCCGCATTGGGCTCAATTCCTGATGCCTCCCAGGTTCACTGGGAGTAGCAACCATTTCCTTTTTTCTATTTTACTGCCACCATCTTTTCTCTACTCCTTTGCGTGTTCTGACCTGCGAAATAGGTTGCTATATCCATAGTCTGCTGATGTCGCTTATGACCCGGTCTACTGGTAGCGAAACGCATGGTATGGTTCAATACCGGTAGTGTCTCAGCCCGGCTGATAAATGGCGCTGTTTTATTTCAGGTATTGTCAGCTCGCTATGAATAGTGGCGCCGCTGTCCATTACTGTGGGAAATCTCGAAGGGCCTCGCGCGCTAAGTCTGATAATGTTTTACTGCAGATAGATAAGGATACGTGTCTCGAATTAATTATTTCTGTAATGATCTCGTGTCCCCCCTCCCCCCTCCACCAAAAAAGAAAAGAAATTTGATTTGACATTCTAAGAATTCGGCCGATCAGCATCGTTTGAATCTTTGCCTAGCTGGGCAAGTAGTAGTGAGTCGGGATTCAAGTAAGTGAGAACTTGGCTTTCACGTTTCAAGTTTCCAATTGGATACCGGTACAGCATATCAAATCGCGACACATAATAGGATGCTCTAGCTAGGGTATTGGCTGTAGTTGCGGCTCTTTACATGTGGATTAGCTGTCTAGTCTAACTCGACTAGGTCAAGAATAGTAATTACAATATAAAGTTGAAGCAGCTGAGTGGGAGTGGGAGTTGGAGCTGGAGCTAGAGCCGGAGCTGGTAGAGCTAGGGGCGATGAGGTGATTACGATCTACCGGTGGCAATTGGACAATTCCCATGTTGTTTGGTTCGTTGATAGGCAGGCTGGTTAGTAACAAAGCCTCCCTCACTTGGGAGGTTCCTCCATTGGATTCAAAGTGAAAATCCTGTATTTTACGTGGTAGTGTAGGTCCGCGGACCCTGTTTACTACCATGTTCCGCATGCTATCAAACCTCTTCTTTCACATTTCTACCTGGTCGTGATCAACTAATGGTATATCATAGGATCCCTTTACCTAATGTTACAGCCTTATAACGTTGCAAGCAGCCATCAATCTGACCTGTAGTGTTTCGACACATATACGGTACTGTAGTACTATACACCACAACACACCTATTACTCCAATGGCGGGGTTCCTGGCCGAGGCAGCACTTCGCGACCGCATTTTGATCGGGATAGCTATACTCCTCGCAGTCGCCTGGGTAGTGCAGGAACTCTTCTTCACGGTCCGGTATCCCTCAAATCTGCCGAGGATTGGCGGCAAATCTCGCTTCAGTCTGCGAACCCGATGGAGGTATCATACCGATGCTCTCGGACTGTATAAGGAAGTCTATGAGAGTGTGCGTCTGCTGCAACTAAGATGTTACCCCGCTGATTGCTCACGACGAACATGTAGTACTCGAAAAAGGGCAAGACCGTGCTAGTTCCCGGACTTGGGTTCCACGACGATGTCATCCTACCACCGACCGCCTTGCGGTGGTTACAGCGCCAGCCCGAACATCTCGTGAGTGCAGCTGCCGCGCAGAATGAGGTTATCCAGCCTTATTATGGCTTCGGACATGACAAGTTCGCCGACGATCCCTGGAGTGGACTGCTGGTGAAGACGGATCTCAACGCAGTTTTGGAAAACGTTTGCGCCGCCATGAATGATGAGTTGGGCCTTGCCATCGATTCTCACTTCGGAACAGACACCAAGGCTTGGAAGGACGTTCACCTAATGCCCACCATTCGCTTGATTGTAGCGCAAGCTGCTACTCGTTTCACTCTAGGAGGTTCGCCCGCCGGTCGTAAATTATGTAAGTCATATACACCTTTCCGTTTCAGTCCACTGCAAGAGATTAGACATGCACTAAGACCATCTGGAGGCCGAAATGAGGCATATCTGAAAGCATGTCTCGATATCACAGATGCACTTGTGATAAACGCGGGATTAGGCAGCGCAAGCCCGAAGCTCCTAAGGCCGCTCCTAGGCCGCCTCGGTGGTATCTCTGCTAAGCGGCAGATGAAAGATCTTGAAAAGTACTTTGAGCCAGTGTATCGAGAGAGAATGCGGATATTGGAAGAGGAGGCTGCGAATCCGGGCATGAAGACGCCAGAGGACCACCTCCAAATAATGCTGCGCTTCGCTTTGAAAGAGCGCAGGGACGAGGCGCTAAGCTTGCACGACATGACGAAGAGGTTATGCATTGCGAACTTTGGCTCGATGCACCAGACGACTATCCAGATTGTGAACATGCTTCTCAATATCTTGGACTCGGATGCCGAGTTCAACACTATCTCAACTTTACGTGACGAGGTCGCTCGCGTCCTTGGAGCCGACAAGACAGCTGGCTGGAACAAGAGCAGGGTAGCAGCCATGATGCGGGCCGACAGCGTAGCCCGCGAGACCCTCCGCCTGTACGCCTTCGGATTGCGCGCCGTGTCGCGCAAAGTAGTCGGCGACGGACTCGTGACCGACGACGGGATCGCGCTTCCCAAAGGGTCGATGGTATCGTTCATCGCTTACTGGACGCAGACGGACGGCGACACATTCTCAGACCCGTTCAAGTACGACCCATTCCGGTTCTCGCGCGCGCGCGAGGCCGAGATGGACGAGCAGGGGAAGCCGGGCCTCACAAGCCTAAGTTTCGTATCGACGGGGTTGCAAAACCTCGCGTTCAGTCATGGAAAGCACGCCTGTCCCGGGCGATTCCTCGTCGATTTCGAGCTCAAGATGATTATTGCGCACGTGTTGATGAACTACGACGTCGAGTTTCCGCCAGAATACAATGGCAAGAGACCGCAGAATAATTGGCTTACGGACGCGTGTTTCCCGCCACAAGATGTCAAAGTCAGGGTGAAGAGAAAAGAATGTACGGGATAAATGCGATGAAGATGTTATTGGGTCAGATATCCTGGAAGATGAAAGAGCCAGCTTAGATTATTCCTTGCACCTCACTGCCGGCATGTGCGCTTTTCAAATCCTACCGTTTTGACAGAATCTGCACATATTGATGCATATCCTCATGCTGTAGCATATCCTCTAACACAATCGGATAGCCGGGGAACAGACATGACGAATTTCCCATTTACACCTCATACTTATTTCACATAGCACAGCACTGAACTCACCGCTCCAGACGATCCGATAAGGGGGGATATCAAGAGATGTCGTTTTAAGGACACGTGTATCTACGCTTCATCACTTCAATCCACGGATTTGATTTAAACCCGGCCAAATTTGCAGCTGGATGAATGAATCCATTATCGGTATTCTGAAGGAAACTCTCATTCTCAAAAGAAATACACTGACGATGTATGTTGGGCCTCATACGAGTCAAATACACCATGACGCGGCACCAGAACGAATTACGGGCTCCATCGTAGAGCTTATCTGGATACGGTTAGTGGTGTTTTGTGCACGGGCCATCAACTAAGGATAGTTTCATTTGCCGAATCAGCCCGGTTTGGTATTAACCTCAGAGTTTGGCTACAGATCCCCGAATTAGACAAGCTGAATATCACCGCATCGTAATGGAACGAACCTCAGGCATCGTCACCCATAGTGAGCTGCATGGGAGTCATCTTATTACGGATAGTCACATTACACACACACCACTCACACCAAATACGTCCCAGCAAAGTGTCTACAACTGTCATGAACTCCAAGTTGTGATGGTGCTATCGAGATATATGAAAGACAGCTACGATATAGGAGACACATTAATATTAGCGGCTACAACCTTCTTAAGCCAACCCTCCTGGACATAACCATAGCAGCAACTGCGCGCTAATGCTCCTCCCAGCGACTTCCATCGAGCTGGTGATCACTCACATGCTTTCGGGTCAGGTCGACGTTCTTGAGGAAGAGGAGACTGACCACGAGAGCTACGACAGAGATAGCGAGGTAGAAAGAATATAACCCAAGGAATCCGAAGTTATAGGCCTCGATTACTTTATCCTTGTAGTCTCCGGCAGGCAGCGTATGCAACACGCTAATGTAGCTCTCAGCCTGCTTGGCGATTTCAACTGGGAGCCCGAGCCACCGCAGCTTAAGTGCCATCACGTTCTGGAAAGTTGTACCCCCGATACCGACTCCGAGAGCCATGCCGAACTGTCGGACAAAAGCATACATGGCGCCAGCCGCCGCCTCATCGCCGTGTTTGCACAAAGCTTGCGATGCGAAATTCTGCGCGTTGAGAACGACGCCTTGTCCAGTGCCGATGATGAGGTAGGTCACTGCCCAGACACCGGTGCTGTTGTTATACGGCCATATAATGAATAGTCCGGCACCGATGCTTGCAATGAACCAACCGATGCAGACTGGCCAGCGGTAGTTGTTGTAGCGTGTTACTAGACGGCCGCAGACGATGCCGGCAGTCGTTACGGTCAAAGTCGCTGGTAGCATTGCGATACCGGTATCAAGCGGGGAGTACTGCTTCACGGACAGGAAATAGAATGGGCCACTAAACTCCAGTGTTAGAAACGGAAACGAGTCGGATACCCAGTGAAGAACTTACTAGTATAACAACCCGTACATCTATCGAACAGCAGCTGTTAGCTTCAAACAATCTCTCTTGGCATAAGGGGTTTTCTTACGACGAGGCCTTGAATGCAGCCACCCAAGTAAGCGGCAATCGAGGCATTGTTGTGGTATAGGCTATGTCTCAAGAAAGGCTCTTTTGCTCCCAATCTCTCGTACACCATCGTGACGAGCAAGCCCACGAAGCCTACGATCAATGGGACCAGGGTCTGAACGCTGTTCCATTCGTACTGCGTTATTGTCAGCATGATCTACTCAGCTTATGTTATAAATGTCCCCTCATAACCAGAGTGTGAAAAGCACATAGGCATATCATCCGTTTCAATCAAGAAGTGAAGTGTCAACGTACCTGTGAACCGCCCCAGGACACTGCGATAAGAAACGAAGTTGCAGACCCGGTGAAGATAAACGACCCAATCCAGTCGATACGCGCCAACTTCTCCCGGACGGTAGCCTTTCGCGGCTTCAGGGTCAAGAGATATG